GTAGCGCCGCCGGGGCAAGAAGTGGTTGTGCGAATCAATCCACATAGTGCGCGGCATGATCGGGGTCGCACCTCAGATCCCAACAGGCCTTATTACCTGTGCAGGGGGCACCTGGGACCACAATAGCAGGGTCCCATGCCTGGGAGCTCCCTCAGCAGACTTGGGCTCCCAGCCATGGGGTTGCATCCTAGTCAGCTGCAGACTGCCCACTGTAGGAGCACACCTGGTCACACATTGGGTTAGTGGTGCGATAGGAACCAGGCACAAAGTTGTTCCACATTATATACGGGATCACTTTAGGTCTTTCTGCATGTCATCATGAATGGAACATGAGGTCCAGTCACAACTTCAGATACGATTAAGTGGTGAATCGCATTATAAGTATAATGTGTGGCTGGGGCCTCAGTGATTGAGTTGCGGTTGCTCCTCACTGGTGCCTGCTCTGGGCCCTGTGGCTCCACCAATGGGCCAAGGCGGGTGTTGGGGACATGGGTCTTCCTACTGACTTTTGCCTGGTTCCTGTAAGCTTAACCCCTGGCCTCTGTCCTGCTGCAGATTCCCCCGACACGGAGGAGACCTGGGACTCGTCAGCAAATGAAAGCTCCTCAGGCTTGTGCCCCAAAAGGAGGTCGTCCCCGGGAGCAGGTGAGGGGAGTGGCTTGGCCCTTTCTAGCACCAGGAGGCACTGTCCGTCAGCAGAAAAATTTCATTTGTGCAGGTGCCCCTCATTCCTGACCTGCAGCCTCCTGTACTCCTAGCCCTGCTGGTGCCCCTTACTCCCAAAGCACATCCCCCTGCTCCCCTAGCCCTGTCGGTGCCCCTCACTCCCAGTCACAACTCCCACAGGTTGGATATGAGGGGCACCAGCAGAGCTAGGGAGGCAGGGGGCTGTGGGTCAGAAGTGAGGGGCACCAGGAGGGCTAGGGATGCAAGGGACTGCAGGTCGGGAGTGAAGGGCACCAGTGGGGCTAGGGGGACAGGGGGCTGCAGGTCAAGACTGAGGGGCACCAGTAGGGGGCTGCAGCTGCCAGATTTCTGGCCTGGCTGGAGCCTGGCCCAGACTTGGCCGCCCAGGGCTGTGCGACTTGAATGCTCCGGCCTAGTTCATGCCTCTCTCTTACGTATCTCCCAGAGGGTCAGAGGTGAAGACATTTTCCCCATTCAGTGGGGGCTCACAGCTAGGACCGAACCCTCAGCTCAGTGCCCTGGGGGTCCTGGAAGGGAAACTTCAGTTTAAATAGGGGCCGTGCTACATGTCCAACTTAAAGCTGGAGAGAAACTAGGTATAAACCCATTTTCAGGCACTAACTTTGTAGCTGGTCAGCTCTTTTAATAGCCGGACAGTCATTTTTATCACGTGATAGGTACTTTGCATGTGTGACTAGTCTTGATATATTGCGCAGTTCACCAGTTAATGGTGTGAATATTACTTTGCACGTCTGGCTGGTTTAGATTTATTATGCGATTAACCAGTGAGCTGTGTGATAATTCCTTTGTGCTTGTGGCCAGGCTTACATTGCACACATGGCCAGCCTAAATGTGTTGCACGATTTGCTAGTTAACCGCGTAATGTATGTAATGTGTAGCAGGGCCATTGTGCTTGAACATGTGTAACAACTTAAGAGCTGGTTGGCTCTTTTTATAGAAGGAGAGTCATTTTTATTGTGTGAGAATTAATTTGCATCTATGGCTGGTCCTAAATTCATTGCATGATTTGCTTATTAATGGTGGTTAATTACTTTCCACGCGTGGCCAATTGGAACTTATTGCGCAGTTCACCAGCTATAAAGTTGTTACATGCTTTCAAGTGCTACCTTTGTAGCTGCTTGGCTCTTTTGGTAGCTGGATGGCCATTTCTGTGGCGTGATTATTACCTTGCACATGTAGCCAGTCTAAATTTATTGCACGATTCACCAGTCAGGTGCGTTATATATATAATGTGTGGCTGGGGCCCAGGGAAAACCAAGTGCCAAGGCCCAGCCTTGCTTTGAGTCCCGTGACAGCTCAGGGGAGCAGCAGGGCAGGGACAAAGCTCCATGTCTCCACCCAGCAGGTGCCCAGATGCCGGAGGTCACCGAGGAGCAGCCGGCCCCCGGCCCGGGGGAGCATCGTCACTGGTGTGCTGAGTGCAAGAAACCATTTGCTCACCTGTCCTCCCTGTCCCGGCACCGCCGCCTCCACGCAGGGGAGAAGCCCCATGGCTGCTTCGAATGCAAGAAGCGTTTTGTGAGCCGCTCAGACCTGGCCCGGCACCGCCGCGTGCATACAGGGGAGAAGCCGTACCGCTGCCCCCAGTGCCCCAAGAGCTTTGCCCAGCATGCCCACCTAGCCCAGCACCGGCGCATCCACTCCGGGGAGCGCCCGTACGGCTGCCCCGACTGTGGCAGGTGCTTCACGCAGCCCTGCAGCCTGGCCCAGCACCAGTGCATCCCCTCTGGGGACCCCTTGGCTGCCTATGGACAGAGCTTTCGGTGCACCTCTGGTCCCAGCCCGCAGCTGCACTCGGGTGAGCCAACTCATCCCCACACTGAGGGCCTGAAGAGATTTGCCTTGCCCTTGTCCCTCACAAGGTAGGACGTGACGGGGCCTTGTATGTGCTGGGGCAAAGAAGAGGAAGGTCCCTGTCAGCATGTGTCCCAGATGAGCTAGCTCAGAGCTGCCTCTGGCCTCGTACAGACCTTCATTTACTCCTGGGAGAGTGTGCTGCTCTCCCAGGGGAAATTGCGAGTGTGCAGACATTTGGGCCTTTTCTCCCAGAGTAAAAATGGCTGCTCCAGGAGGAAAATATCTGGGGTTCAATCACGCCTGAGAGAATTTCTCCTGGGAGAGCAAATGTCCTCTTCATCCCTCTGGAGGTCAGAGTCTGGCCCTGAAGGAACATGAGGGGCATCAGGCCAGATGTCATCAGGCATCTGACCCTACACGGATCCTGCGGTGTCCCCCAGAGCCCAATTCAGGTTTTCTTTTCACCATCTCAACCATAATTCAGTCTTACCAGACCTAAACAGGGCGTTCCTGGGGCAGGTCTCTACCTATCTCCAGAGTCGTGAGATGGGCACGAACCAGAGGCTGGAGACCTATGCAGATGCAAAAGACTGGGATTTCCCAGCCCTGCTCTTCCAGTGGCTTCATGGAGATCCTGGGGCTGGTCCCAGTCACACCGTTGTGAAGGACTTGAGGGCAGGGTAGAGATGCACCCACAGGAGGTAGGACCCACTGCAGACCCCCAGATTTCATGGGGCAAGGAAGAAGGTTCCCCCCACAAGCTCCGAGGAGACAGTTTGGATCTCAGCTAGCTGCATCAGCTAGAGACAGAGCGCCCCAGATTGACTTTGTCCGCACACAGCATCTATCAGTTGGAGGGGACTTGAACTTCCAAAAGCCCTATTGCTGCCCTTGCCTTCTGGTTATCTGGATCTAGGGGTGGATGCAGAAGGGGTGCGGTGGCATGGTGACATCCCCACCTTTTGGATTGCACTGTGCTATAAGCCTCTGAGGACTTTTCACAATCCCTAAAGCTGGTGAAAATCCTCCCTTCTCAGTCCCTTCCCCCCACCCCGGGTCTCAGGCAAGAAGCACCAGAGTCCCTGCCTGGAATCTCTATTAGCAGCTGAGGTCCCTCTGGGGCAGCTTCATGGATGATATCCAGTGCCATGATAGTAATTTTGCTAAGGGTTTAGGGTGCTGGGTTTGTCTGGAATGGGTTGGATGGGTCTGATCCTGCCTGAGGCAAGGAGTTGGACTGGATGCGACCTCCACAGCTCCCTTCTGGCCCTATTTCTCTCGGACTCAACGCACTGAAGAGGATGGAGAAGGAGGGGGGTGGGGTTCACCTGCTTTAGAGACTTAAAGAGACCTCACGGTCTCCTTCTTACTGGAGGAAACTGGGAGCAGGGTGGGTCGATGCTCCCGCACCCCCTTTGGGAGATCCTGGATCTGTCCCTGGCTGCAATGGCTTCCTCTGGTCAGAGTTACAACCCTCCTGTCCATTCAGCTGGCATTTGCAGGGGTTCATTAGACATTGCAAAGGTGTCCAGGCTGCGTTCTGCCAAACGAAGGATCCCATTAAAGTTTCTCCTTGGAGCTGGTGGCTGGGCTCCTGACTTGGCTTGTGATTCAGGTCCCTCCTTCAGTGGTCTGACCACTAGGCCAGACCACCTGCAACCTGGTCCTTCCACCCCCTGATCCTCAAGGGTGCTTTCGGGGTTTCCCACACCTGGCATGTCCTGCTGCTAAGCATGCATAGACCATGTCGCGGCCTGGATGGGAAACTGGATGAGTGGGGCCTGCTTTCACCTGCCCAGAGAACCCAGGCATCCGGGCTCCCTGCCCCCCAGGCTGGACTCATTCACCCTGGATGAGTTATGGTGCCTTGTACTTGGCCCATTGGAATAGTTAGCTGGGGGGGGGGAGTATGGGGCCAGTCCCCTGTGTGCTCGTCCAGTGGCACCCACTACCCACAGGGACCTTCTTCCCCGCCGCCCTCCCCGCCATGCAGGCACCGCAGCACTGATGCCATTGGCGGTCCTGCCGCGCAGCTGATGGAGATGGGTAAGTCCCCTAGTGTCGGGGAGCAGGTGGGGACAGGGATGAGACTCTTGGTACCCCATTCACATCTCCCCCAGTCTCTGCCCACCCCCCTGGGGGGTTGGGTATAGCAGAGTTGCTGCCAGCTCTGGGGTGGAGTGCTGGGGGCTGAGTATAACAGCTGCAGCTGGCTCTGGGGTGGGAGCTGGGTAAAACGGCTACGGCTGGCTCTGGGGAAGGGCATCCAGAGCTGGGGATAAGATAGCTGCAGCTGGCTCAGGTGGGGCACAGGGCTGGGTATGACAGTTGCAGCTGCCTCTGGGGTGGGGGTCTGGGACCTGGGTATATAGGACCCCCACCCTTGCCCAGTGCTGCCTTGCAGCTGGCTTGGGTGGGCGCTGGGTGGCTGGGCCAGAGCAGAAGTCTGGGTCCCTGGGCAAGGATGGGGGTCCTTTGGGTGTCTCTGACCCCTGCTGTTAACTGTGTGAGAGAGATCTGGATTCTGTGTGTGTGCGCGCGCGCATGTTGGATGCCTGGGGCGCGTGTGTGTGTTCCCTTCTGCCATGACTGAGGCCCCCCCCACCCCAGATCTGCTGCCCCTGTGGTGCCCCTGTCCCTGCCCGCCCCGCCATGTGCACTGACCCCAATCCTGCCCAGCTGGTGCCTTCCGGGGCAAGGCCCAGGGTTCTCCTGTGCTGTTCCACTCAGCCACTCCTGCCCTGCCCCACCCCAGAGCTGGCTGCATCCTGGCTCCCACCACATCCCACATGTCCTGCATGGACCCACCAATTCCAGGCACCAGGGATGGATGGACACACACACAGCCCAGGCATCCAACCTACCCACCCCTGGTGTCCCATCCATGCACACACATGGGCACAACCCAGGTATCCAACACACATGTGCACACACACCAGGCATCCAACCCTCACACACACACGGAACCCAGGCGTCCAACCCACGTGTGTGCACACAGGCACACATACAGACACACGCACACCCCTCAGAGAAATTGTCCTTCTGCAGATGCCTCTGCGGGACTATCAGAGCAGTTGTGTGGGCCCCGGGGTGAGAGCTGGAGCCTGCAAGCAGGGGAGGTTGATTCCCAAGGTCCCAGGCCCAGCTGGTGCTCAGAGCTGTACAAAAGGCTGATCAGAACAACCCCCCCAGGCACCCGGTCTCTGCGCAGGCTGCGACGGCATGCATCCTCCAGTACGTCCCGGACGCTGGAGACAACAAATCACCTGTCTGTAAGGTTTGGAGTTGATGCTGGGCTTGTTCCCAGGTCCCTGCTGAGATGCGGCCAGCTCTGGGGTGGAGCGCCTGGGGCTGCGTATAACAGGGAAGCCTTGCCAAGAGGGTGATGCTTCTGGGGTGTTTTGGTGGCTGAGTATAACAGGTGCAGCTGCCTCTAGGGTGCGGCACTGGGGGCTGGGTATAACAGGGCCTTTTGGCAGCGCCCATGGTGGGTGATACGCTTACGTTCAACATGGGAGGACTGAGTTGTGACTGTCGGGGTGGATGGAGGCCACAGGGGTGCATGGGTCGAGGTACCTGGAGAGCTGGGCTGTCACAAGAGACTGGGCCCGGGGACCCGGAGCCTGAGAGGGGCCAGGGCTGAGGGGCAAGAGGGGCCAAAGCAGGGAAGGGCCTGTCTCTAGGGGCCTCAGTTTCCCACCTCTGCCTCACCTCCCCCTGGGGCGCTGGCCAGACGTGCTGGCGTACATGGGGTGCCCGGTGTCTTCTCCCCACCGCCCGGGTCTCATCCCCTGAATTCCCCGGGGTGGGAGGGGGCAGCTGTTCCCTGCCCCGGGTGCAGGCCGGTGCCCTATGAGGGTCTAGAGTCCTTACATGCCTGTAGTAGCCCCT